AAATATGCCCTGTCAACGCCAATCCCCAGGAATGGAACAGAAGTGACTAGGGGGCATCTTCCTGCTTGTAAAAGATTCGGGGGCAGGACCAAGTACTTTGCCGGGTGGGGAGCCCCACATTCTGCCCTCCCGAAGTCCCCGTCGAGTAGAAAAACCTCTCCTCTTCCTTCCTTACTCAGCTACGTATGGCAACTCACCCGCTCCAGTACAGAACAGATGCAGCTCTACGTTAATCTCCCCGCCAGCATCTTCTGCGCTGCCTCGCAAGCTACGGAGAGAGACCCGCGCAAAAGGGCCCTGCGCGCGTCTCTGCGCGTGAGAGGGCGAGAGAGAAAAAGAGGGGGAGGGAGGCCAGGCAGGCAGCAGAGGTGCTTACAAAGCACACTCTTCTCTCCGCCCATACCACACCATTTTTATTGCTACGGCCTGCAGAAGAGGTCCGGATCGAAACGCCGGGACAGGTTCTGTCCGGAGTGATGGATCGTGGCTGAAACTTCGAGCACTGGAGTCTGTGGTTTCCCTGCCGAGCAGATCCCCGATTTCCCCTTCCCCCGTTGTCTCTCCAAGATTAGCTGTTTTTACCCCCGCCTAGACGCCTTCTCCTCTTCCTTCTCCTGTGCCTAACTGCCTTCCCAGACCCGAAGCAGGCAGCCGTCCCTGATCAGAAAGGAATTTAGGAAGCATAACCTATTTAACGGTTCTCCATTCCTAGCTGTGTATTCAGTTTGCTTTCTTCTTTTACACTGAAGGTCCGTTCACTTTTTACTCTGTGTGTGTGTGTAGCTTACAGCTGTGAGAGTGGGCTGACTCCACTAGCTGGTTGGTTCTGTCCCACCGTCAGACACAGAGTCCCCCCACAAACTACTCTCAAGGTAATGCAGCCCTCAACAAATCACATCAAAACGAAAGTGAAGAAGCAGAATATTTAGGGAAAAGGGGCTGTGCATTTGCCATAGAGATCGATTTTTAATGCACTCATGATGCACGCAGGGGGGGGGGGGGGGACAAAAAGGAAGAAACCGTGTCACGTGTTCAATCAACGGTACTCTCTGCATATGGTGGAGGGCGGACACTTCATGGGGTCACCAGCAGTAAACTGCTTTGTGAATTTGGATGTCTCCATGTTTAATTCAGGTAATATTAACAAGGTCACCTGATTTGTCAGCTTCACCAGTTAATCACATACTCACACTTACACACTCCCAAGTGTATCCTCTTAACACTTAACTCCTATATGATTTGCAAAGAAAAGTGGGAATGATAAATTTTCCACCCCAGGGACTTTTAATGGATGAAGATTCCCTTAAGCGGAGTTTAACTCCTAGTTATTACGCAGCCACAGACTTTTCTTGGCAACAGTACAGAAATCTTTTGCCATTGGCCTTTTTCAGGATGTTTTTCCACTTTGCAATCTGGTCTATAGCCCTGGCATTCCCTGATGTTTCCCATAAAACCGCCCCCCCCCCCAATTGATTCCAAGCCTGGATAAGGTCAGCTAGGTACTACTTTACTTTGAGGCACTGAAATATTTACTTATTTATTTATCAAATTTATATGGCTGCCCATCTTACAGGAAGTGACTCTGGGTGGAGTACAACAGTCAGTTAAAACAACAAATATATAAAAACAATCATTATAAAAATATTTTAAAAAATTATTAAAAATTTAAATATTATTAAAAAATTTTAAAAATATATGAACCACAAATGTGAATGTTTTCATGCATTTCAGAATCAGGAAGAGTCTTATACCCTGTGCAGCCCGCTGCATGGGTGATTAAAGAAACAGTCCAAAAACGTAATAGGAAAGTACACTCTAAATTAATATAAGAAACTCCTTGTTAAAGCAGATCAAGATTTAATTAATCCATAACTCTTTTTCAGCCACAGCTAACCAGATGCCTCTGAAAAGTTTGCAATCCAGGAAGTTTTGTCCCTTTTCTTCTTGCTGTTTAACTTCAGCAACTATGTGGGCATCCTGGTTATTTATTTATATTTGTTAGATTTATATCCTGGCTTTTCTCTAGGAGCAAAAGCTGGCATCTATAGGCACTGCCTCCTTTTCTGGGCTGAGAGGATGGCTGCCTGCAGATCACACAGTGATCTTCCATGGTTGAGGATGGAGTTGAACTTGGCTGTCCTTGATCTTAGTCCAACACTTTAATCATGACACATTTATTTTTATCCAGTCTGTTTTTACTTCTAGGGAGGAGTGAAACTGTAAAAAAATAGTTTCTCATTTTTGTATTGTTAAGTTTAATTTTCCTGTTTTTGTGACTGTTGAGAATTCCTTAAAGTTGACTAAAATGTGTATTTTTGTGCACATTTTTCCAAACATACTGTACACAAATCTGTAAATACAGTTTTTGCAGTCATCCATAACTAATGCAATGCAATGCAATATAACATACGGTGCAGAATTTTATTATTTTTGATTGACAATGTGCTTTGCAAATTTTGAGGGATAACAGAATTTCACTTTGTGTATTGGTTAAAAATCCGAAACTGGAAATTGTTGCATTCAGTTGCAAACCAAACAAAGTTACCCCCACTGCTATTTGCTCCATATTATCCTGTCCTATTATCTATTGACTACAGATTTTCTGGATTAATTAAATGGTAGAATTCTTCCTGATAGGTGCTGCTCATCAAGACAAAAGAGAAGTGTAGGTCTTTCACCCTCCCCTACACTCCTGTCCCCAATTTAGGACACCTCAGAGAGAGGGGGATGGGAAATCCTATGGTGCAAATGTTGGATGTTATCTTTTCTCTCTAGAGACAGAAGCATTAGGAAATTTCTATTTTAATATAACAATATTTTTATATTTTGGTGTATTGTGAAAAACAAACAAGCAAACTGTGTATTTTGACAGGAAATGGAGAGAAAGAAAGAATAACACTCTATTTCTTACATTTAGGAAAATGCTTGTTACAGTATATGTCATTTCTTCCCTTTTTAAAAAGCTACTGAAAACAGGTAGTCTCTCATTTATTTTCCCCAGATATCCTATGTAGACAGCAAGTTATATACAATACACAGAGGCAACCTGCTTAAGCACTGGTACATCTACTTCCCAAGTTTTGTTGGTACTGACCTCAGGATAAAGCAGTCAAGGTTTCAGCCTGTGTTAGCAAATGCAGTAGAAATTGTGAGAAAGCATGATTACATAAGTAGTTTCATTCCCTTTGGGTTTTTTTTTTCTCCACACTCTCTTGATCTTTGGTTTTGCTTTGCCAGTTTCATTTTCTTGAAAACTGACACATAGGTAATACTTGCATCAGTATTCTCAGAAGACCACACTTTCTCTATTGCTTTTCTGTAGCACAATTAGGCCCTTATGTACTTATGAACAAAACATATTATTCCAAATTCTCAAAAATATCATCTGGTTCCACCATCACCATGGCTAACATCTACCAGAACTTTTCTTACTGAATGGCATGACAATGTTCTATGTTTTCCTACCCATCGCCCCTGGCAGCTAATGACAGGGGTTGGATGCAGGAAGACACAGAACGTCTTGATGCAAGATAAATTCTATTAGATGTTCCAGAGAATTAAAGAGCTTCTCTCTCTGCTGTTTTTGGCAGCAGCTATCCATCTTGATAATATCTAGTTTGGCCCAGTTAAAATATTAGGTGATCTCATATCATAATTACTTTCTTAAGGCCAGTGAGATGAACTTGTTGTCAGTATGAAGTTGGTAACCATGATTTTCTTCCACTGAATGCCCTGATTACATCCTTTCATTCTGTTCATTCAGCATCTGTGAGGACAAATACTATTGATTTACATTCTTAAGCATTAGTAACTAAAAGCATATTGAACATTACATTCTTATTTTTTGTGTTTGTTCTTTGGATACCTAGTTCTTTGAAACTATTATTTTAATAAGTTGATGAAATCTGCCGCCGACAGTTATGAATATAATTTAATTGGCCACTGAAACAATTGATATGCTATGATTAATCTAATTTTAGGCCAAGATATTTAGAAAATACAGTAGATGGAACCTAATCCATGAGTTGTTTGTATGTCTTGCTGAACTAAGATGCTGAGTATCTTCAGGCTTAACCTAGATGGATAACTGAAATCTTATTGATTTCAATAATTAAGTGTAATTATAAATTAATATAATCCAATGCCTAAATATGATAAATGAGAGCTAACCAGGTCACAGTGATAGACTGGGCAGAAAACATTTTATGATCAGCAGTGTTTCGTTGAAATACTACCAACATATTGCTTAGTTCACTTACAGTGGATTTCCAGATTTTTCTGAATAACCTTTGTGTATCTTAAAGGGCAACTTAACAAGCTCTCCCATATTTGATGCCAATAAGATTGAACTCACAGAAGCATTTCCCTGGTTTTAAGCATAAACTAGTCCATTCAGTACTCACCCCATCAAGAAGCCTATAGAAGAGCAAATTCTAGGGCTGCCAATTCTGGGTGATCAAGAGATGAGATACAGAAAGCACCAACTTTCGGCTGCCTTATCTGCTGATTGTGTGGATTTTTGCAGCCCAGATCTGATAGGTAGCCCCAACAAATTCCAGAAGTGTAGCCATATTAGTTTGATACAAGAGAAATAAAAATATAGTTCTATGGCATGTTAAAGATTAATGGACCATAGCAGTGGTTTTTATGGAACAGACCCTCTTCATCAGAGTCTTAGTTGAAGTTGAACATAAAATTAAAACATGGAGATGGAGTTTAATTCACAAAAGCTTTCACTGTGAGGAGTACGTATATACACATGGTATGGAACAGTATCAATTAACGCAGGGTTCATACCTCATGCTAAACCTGGGGCTTGTCTTCAGCTTAACATGATCTGTGAATTCTGCCGTGGTGGTTTCTAAAGCATGGTTTATGCATTATGTGTGAGCCAATATGGTTTGTGCTATAAAACACTGTGCCTTAGTATGATGTGTGAATCCAAGCAATGGGACAAAGAGACTTACTTCTGAGTAAACATACAAAGGTGTGTGCTTTAGATCTTTATTGAGTCATTAAAATACCCTCTTTTTCTTGTATTATAAGATGGATTTATCTAGTCTGAGAGATAGGTATATAACAATTATTTTTTAATTCCCTAAAGGTAAATAGCATTAATAATTCCCTTTGACAGAACAGGCTCATTCCCAGATTGTAAAAAGACTGGTATGCATTCTTATTTTATGGATTTAAAGTTTCAGAAAGAAAAGAATGACAAAAAAGATATCTTATTACTTTCCATATCATGCTGTTAACTCCTGGTTGGTGTGGTTTCTCTCTTACTATTTCCTTCCTGCATCAGCAGCTACTACTAATTTTAGATTAACTTGCATTCTAGAGACGTATTTAGGTTCAGTATCACCTTTCAATTTCTAGGAAGCCATTCACCTTTTTGAGAAGTTTCAGAGGTGGCGTGTTCTGATGTGAATGATATCTCCTGACTAAATGTTAAAACTGCATTATTCTCATCATTCTCAAAATGAGCTTCCTGAGCAACACCTGGCTTTCTTTTAAAAGACCATGAAGCCTGGGTCAGATATTACTTCACTAAGTATATAAAAGAACTCTCCTGGATTAGACAAATGCCCATCTAATCCAGCATGTTGTTTTCCCAAGTGAGTGATTAACTTCCAAAGGGAACCCTTCACATAGTAGCATCTCCCCATTGTTGTACCCGGGAACTGGTACAGTATTCAGTGCTCATAACCTCAAAATCTGGAAATAGTACATAGCCATTGTGTCTAGCAGCCATTCACCAATATGTCATCCATAAATCTGCTCAATTTTCTTTTAAAGCCCTCTAGGTTGGTAGCCATCATGACATTCTATAAAAGCTAATTCCATAGTCTAACTACACACCATGTGTTGAAGTATTGCTTTTTTGCTGTCCCATATCCCTCAACTTTCAATATCATTGGATTTTTGTATTATAAGGGAGAACCAAAAAAAAATAAAAATCTCTGTCCATTTTCTCGACATCATAACTGTATATAATTCTAAATGTCTTATAAATCATGTTTTTCTAACTTGCATAGCTCTATCCTCACCAGTGAGTTTTTCCATTGACTACCCTTTCCAGCATCTTTTTGGGATGTTCAGTACAATTTTTGCAGCTGAGCACCCAGAACTATATACAATGTTCCAAGCATAGTCAGACCATAGATTTCTATGGCATGGTGCAGACATACTTCCTTATGGCTGTGCCAATGTAACGAAAAACAGTTTGCACCTCCTCATCCTTTGAGAGGGTGTAATGATGCTTGCAGAAGGTGATCCATGTCACTGAGGCCAGGAGCATTCCTATGGTGACAATGAGAGCAGTTTGCTCCTTCATCCATAACGAAGTAATATCCACTTAATCACTTAAGCAGTCCTCAGCAGTTTTTCAGGCAGGGACAAATTGGCCTAGAGGAGCAACGTGTTTGATTTAAAAAAAAAGAAAAGGTAAGCTATAGAAAATAGAATCCTTTTCCCATTTTCCCAAAATTCTCAGGCTTCCTGACCTTAATTCAGCAGTAAATGACAGATCTCCTGAAACGTCAAGGCTAAGCTTGACTCCTTGGTTTGCCTCAGCAAGACTCACAGATGCAGCTCAGCTTGTTTAGAATCCTTATTGCAGGCAAGAATAAAAGGATACATAATAGTTGACTTCCCACTGCTAGTGAATAGCTCCAATAAAAGAGAATATCTGTAGCTCAGGGTTGAACTGTGGAGTCCTTGGTGCTCTCTGAGGTTGGTGGTTTGCTTGCAGGTGTTTCATTACCCAGTTCTGATGATGTTACCTAGCTGGGTAATGAAACATCTGCAAGCAAACCACCAACCCCAGAGAGCACCAAGGACTCCATGGTAAATAGTTGGAAATAACTTCTTTTACCCTCAGAGGTTTAAACTTGAGGAGCCTTCCTTTCACCCTTTTAAACAGATAGAAATTTGGCATGGTGTTTGATGACTTTGGAGCTGCGTAGGTGCTGTATGTCAGCTTGTAGAAATAACATATCAGGATTTGGTCATACTCTTCTGGCTGATCCTCCTAACTGGGAAAGTTTTCTTTAGTTATATTGATTGTGACCCTGAGGTATATCTTGTACATGCATCCTGTTGCTATGGCTCATTTGTACACTTTCATGTTGTGCAAGTACCTTCTGGGCTTCATATATGTAGTTGCAGTGTATAATCTTGAATTATAAAGTATCCCGATGATAAATCATTTTAACTTCTGAGATTATTCAGATGACTTTCTGGTCTCCCTTAATTCAATGTACAAATTAATTATAACAAAATGAATTAACCTGAGAGATTAAAAGTGAGACTGTGGCTGCAACTCACCTTTTCAATTTTGTTCAAACATTGAACAGAGAACCTTGAGTTATGCTGCTTGAAAATGCAAAACTTGTATTCTTTGTGCAAAATGTGTATTCTTTGTTTCTTCAATCCTCATAGTGAACAGTGTTTTGAGGAAAATAAGACATCATATTGGTGGAGTCTTCATTTATAGTTTTTAAGCAAGAAAGTAGACTATCTGGTATTACAGTCTGTTCTTGAATATCTTCATCTGAAAGCAGAAACTTCAACTGGTTTGCCCTTTGGGTACTTGGATCTTCATCTGTTGAGTTGACTCTGCTCTGCCCACTTCCACTATTCCTGAGAACAAGGCTGATTTTATCAAATAAAGACTTACTTTCATTGGTGTCAACCATAGGCCATATATGGGCCACAGGACTGGTATAATCTTTCCTTAAATTGTTTATGGGCAAAGCTAGCGAGTTTGATTTTGGTTCCAAGTTTTGAAAATGTATTTCACTAGTAGTGCTGAAAGTAGTTCCTAATTGTGCCTTACTAGAAGTCTGAGGTTTGTAGCCATTTCTCTCAGTCACATCTGAATGGCTGGCAAACGGCACATCTTCTGGAATATTAAGTTTCCCAGAAACTGTTTCACTTTTTCCTCTTTTCTGTCCCACAGTCCTATAGTGTTTCTGTAACAATATTTCTTCAACTTCAGTTACCACAACATCCTCATAATCCAAAAATGGCCCAGAGAAATTGTGTGTCACAGCATCATTTTTTTCCTAAGGAGAAAAATAACACAGAAAATGTTGAATATTCCAGCATTGTGGTGAGCACATAACAAGGGTAGGAATACGGAGGAAGCAAACACCTATTTGGTTTCTAGCAGAGTCCACAGGATTCTGAGTAAAGCAGAATTTGCATAATGCTGTACTCAAAAAAGAAAGGGAAGAATGTTGGAGATTAGGTTCCAGAACCATTGACTCGTTCATTATTTATCCTTCTGATCTCTAGGGGAATTAAGAGTACTCTTTTAAAGAAGAAGAAGAAGACCCTCTTTATTCCTCTCGTTTCATTCTACTTTGCTTTGGATTGGAAGACTGATACCCTTACACTCTTCTTTTCAGCCTGGTTCCTAAAGGAAGTAGTGTAGGAAGTACTACATTCCTTTCTCCCACCATGAAGAAAGAAGGCTCAGAGATTCTATGGGAGGTTGTAATTTCCTTCATAAGCTTTTACTTGTGTCAAGTTTGAGGATGCTCTGGGCCAAAAGCTCCCTGGTAGACCCTCAAACCATTCTATGGGGCAGAAGGGACACAAGGGAAAGAACTGAAGATAGCACTTAAAATGGCAGAATGTCTATATCCAGCCATCCAGTGTCCTCAACCCAGGGTGTGATGATAGGCAGTCAGATCAACCCTTTATATTCTTCATTATCCCCCATATTTTTGGATCCCACTTCCTTATTATGGAGAATCTTATGGCTTTCAGAGGCATTGCACTACAGATAACTGGACTGTTTGTGAAATTGGGTTCTAAGGCTTAATTGGGATTGCTGCTGTTGTACCAGCCTCCCTGTTTCATAACAGTTTCCTTGCCAGAGGTGCTTCATTGTGGGGCCAGGTTGGTGGTGGAATTCCCTAGATTCATGGTCTTGGAAGATTTCAGCGGGCCTTCCTTTGGTGCAGAATTGGAGGCAGCTTGGGAGTTTATGGCCACCACGGCAGCCATGGACTATCTTCACTTAACCAAGGGTCTGACTCACAGTGGCGCTCACAATTTGGATCTGGTTTTTGCCTTGGGGCCAGAGCAATGTGATCTGAATATGGGGGATATCAAACACCTGTCCATCTTTTGAGGAGGCAAGGTCAAGAAACAGGCACAGTGGGGTCTCCGACCCCTTTTTTTTTTTCATGAAGAGAGAGTCTGTCCTATTTGCAGAAGAGCTCTTCTGGATGCAAATCTCACTTTTAAAATGAATTTATGCACTCAGTTCTATAATGTCTGGTTTATATTACAGTAAATTTGGCATTGGCATAAGATAGATTTGACAGTCTTTAATATCTAATCCAGTAGAATGTACCAACAGGCTGCAGCTTTGCAGGGTTTCAAATAGAGATTTTTCTCATTACTTGTTACATGATGCACTGAGCCTTGGACCCTTTGCAATTAAATGTGCATAGCACTGAGATACGGTTTCCACCCAGATGAGAATTTACTGTGCCTGTGGAAGTCTTTTTTTTTTTTTTTTAATTTCTCAGCACAGAGTTAAGGCTACTGAAACGGCTCCTGAAAGCAAGCATTTCTGCACCATTTTCTTTTTTTAATTCTTTTTTGCTGTTTGATATTTATCTTACCTCTTTATTTTAACCCAGCGATGCACAGACATATTAACTAAATCACAGGACAATTAATTTATGAGCAGGTGAGTAAATGTGATTTCAACCTTGAAGGACATCATGGGATTTAAAATATGAAGATGTAATATGACAAAATTAAAATAAACAATGGAGTGTACTGAAAATGGAATTCATGGGGAAGTGGGAGGTGAGGCTGGGTAAGGGATGACATTTCTGTCACGATACAAGCTCCGCCCATTGCATATTGTGGGCAATGTTACAATGCAAGTACCAAAAGGGAGGGCTTGTGCTATGACAATACAATGCACATTCCATCATTTTAGCATCACTGTGGCTATGTATAGACCAGTTTATGCCCTAATCCTTTGCCCTTGTAATGGTAAGACCAAGCATAATGTTGGTCGTTTATGTTCTCTAAATCAGTGTTCCTCAACCTTGGCAGTTTGAAGATGTGTGGACTTTAACTCCTAGAATTCCTCAGCCAGCTATGCTGGCTGGGGAATTCTGGGAGTTGAAGTCCACACATCTTCAAGCTGCCAAGATTGAGGAACACTGCTCTAAATGACAAACCAGACAGATACTCTGTACTACACTGTACTGTATCAAGCAAATGTTTGGTCCTGCCAGGTTCTGTATTCAAAAAGTGATGACAATTCCATATTGAAGTAAATCTAGAATTTCCAAGTTTGGAAATTACACTGTACATCTGTGTGTATCTATGCTGTATACGGAGAGAGAAGGAGTATAAAAGTTTTACCCCACTGTGTAAGGATAGGAAAAAAACCCAATTAGCCCCGAAACATAGATTGACTTTTATGATTATACGCTTTTTCTCATTTACAACATCACTGGGACAGCAAGGCAACCCCAATTTTACCTTTTCTTCGTATGACACCAATCCTGTCTCATTCTTAAGTTAAAATAATAGTCATACCCAGTTCTTATCCAACATATTCCTTCAGGTGCCACAGTTCTGCCAGTGCTCCATGGTGGGGAAAATGTGCATGCCTTCCTCTCATCCATTTTCCAGGAGGCATGTTTGTGTGAGCATTTAATTATTAAAGGTTCATACCCAGGTGACATTAACGTTAGATGCCTGTCTCTTAAGGAGAAGGGCAGGAAATATATGTCATTGTAGGTTCTTCAACCAATCACACCCCACAAGTATACTGTATACTCAGTTACCTAGGTGGACAACACCTTTGGTTAGGCAGCTACAAAACATGGAGGATGGCAATGACAACCTATTATCACCGAAAGGGCTAGATTCTGCTAAGACTGGCTAGAGAGGAAAGGCTCTGTATCACAGATATAAAAGAAAAGTATTCAAGCATAAATTTAAATAAGTCATACATTGATAACATTCTATGGATATCTAAGTACTTCCTGCACTCTAGTTTCCTGAAATACAAAAAAGTCTTAATCTGAAGAATTACCTGGAGATATTTGATCACTTTGCTGTTTTGCATCTTAGGATATTCTTCAAAAAGCCATTTTGGTGTTACTGAACTAACCATTTTGTTAACCCTTGAAACAAAACCACAACATATTACTTATATTTTTAAATGATTCAAATCCTTAACTGAGAGAAATACCAATGTAATTTTCAACAAGGCTAAGAACAAGCCACATATTACAGCAGCAGACTCTTGTCTTCAAATATGGATCACCATCACACAAATCTAAACTGGGGTTGGGAAAGTTAGCAGGAAAGAGCTGAGCAACTATTAAACCAATCCTTCCTCTGCTACTAACTTTTATCCTAGAATGCCCCCTGACTCACTCCTACCTCCCCATTCACCTATTTTTGTTTATGAAGATGACTGGAAGAATACGAAGGGAGTGAAGAAACCAGATGAGGGGAAGTGCTAGAAGGCAAAAGGTTCAGCATCATTCTCCTGCTCAATTGCTTTTCTACATCTACAGATAGTCCTCACTTAACAACCATTTGTTTAGTGACTGTTCGAAGTTACAACGGTGCTGAACAAAGGGACTTACAACCAATCCTTGCACTTACAACCGTCACAACACCCTTGCAGTCATGTGATCATGATCTGGGCACTTGGCAACCAGTTCACACTTACGACGGTTGCAGCATCCCAGGGTCATGTGATTGTCATTTGCGACCTTCCCAGCCGGCTTCCGGCAGGCAAAATCAATGGGGAACTGTGAGATTCACTTAACAACTGTGTGATTCACTTAATTACCACTGCAAAAAAAGTTGTAAAATTGGGTGCAACTCGCTTAACAACTGCCCTGCTTAACACTGAATTTTCTGGTCCCTACTGTGGTTGTTAAGTGAAGACTACCTGTACTTTTTTTGCAAGCTGTTTTCAAGACACTTGATGGTCACTCACATTTGGAGACAAGTTTATGATCAGGTTCAACTTAATAGCAGTCAGTGCTAATACTTTCACCAACAATATTAAACAATTTACTAATGGGAGAAGGAGGTCCCATTAAAATCAAGCGTCAACCTCTATTGTAAAAATCACCCTTGTCCTGCTTTAATAAGGGAAAGTATGTACAAGACAGATACTGGGCCTGTACTTCCCAGGAATTAAACATTCATTTACTAAAGCCTGGGGAAAATAGCAATCATACCTTTTCCTGCATGATTTAATTGTAATCAAAGCCAAAACAGAGATTGATAAGAAGGCCACTCCAACACCAGTTCCCAACAGAATCCCAGTATCATAATCATAATTGCCTGAGAGAGAGAAAAAATGGGGGGAAAGGGAGAGATCAGCATGCTGATTTTACACTACCTTCATGTATTATGAATATATGAATGAATTCAGAATAATGTGGGCAGGAAAGTGCAACTCCTGGATTTTTTTTCACAACTGGATAAGTGGTATCATCTGCTAGAGAACAGGGTAATTGCCAGATTCTCCTTGCTCTGATAAATAAGACCCTAACAAGGCTTTAGGTTTTACTACTGTTTCTGGCAGATAAGAAACAGGAGAATAGGTAAAATAAGTAAAGAGCAGCTGGATATCTATTTTATTTTCTTTGATGGAGTTACCTCAGCTCCAGCATTTTAAACAGTAAACCCTTCAATGCAACACTGCTTGCATTTCTAATTAAAAGCTAATGTTTTCAGTTGAATGAAGAATAAAACTCAGTAAATTGTATCCAGATTTAATTATATAGAAGGCATTATTAGATGCAGCTTCAAATCTGCTTCGGCAATGACTGGAGACCCCTGTAGATCAGTTGATCAAGTTGCTAGACTTTTTCTACCATGCCAGATTCTGGCTTCCTTTTGCTGTAATGGTGACATTTTCTGGGAAAGTGCCCAGCAGGGCTATCAAATGATCAGCAGGAGGTTTAAACTCCTTCTCATGTTGGATTTGTTATTTCTGGTAATGCCCTAAGGATAGACTCATTGAAATTAATACATCCCATTTATTTCTATGGTTCTATGTAAGTTTTCTATAAATTGAAACAATATCGTTAAAAGCAGACATTATGGAGATCAGTGGAGTTAACTCCCAGGTAGCTATGTGTAGAATTTCAGTCATAGGGACTTATTAAAATAAAAAGATGCTTACTTTCCTTGATTGTTTTAGTTGCCCTTTTTCAAAATTTTGCAATAATATTTTCTGATGCGGAGCACTGTTCCAAATGTGATCTCTGCATGGGGAGGATCCAGACACAGTCACTTGGAACAAACCAAGTGAAATTAATGGAACTTCGGTAGACACTGGCAAAGAATTCCAAAGAGTTATTGGGGCAGGATTTTTACCCGCAAAATCCCCGAGGAGTCTTTCTCAATGAGGCTGTGATGAGGAGATACATGTTTTTGTGCAATGAAATCAACACATTTGTAGGGCCATAAAGACTAAAGACTTAATTGTGGCACAAACTTTCATGAATTAGAGTCTTTTCTCATCTTTGTTATCTAACCACCTCCTTGTTTGGTTTCCTGCTTCTGCTGTATTTAAATCCTTTTTTAAAAAAAAGTCTTAGTACCTCTGATGGACTTTATGCTTTTAATTTTTTTAAAATGTGCTATGCTTAATTTATATTTATGCTCCCTTTTTTCTGCTTTTCTAAAGTAAGTTGTCCTGTTTGTGAATTTCTTGACTTTGGTCATTAATTGATTTCTAAGGGTAGTTGTACTATAGTAGTTACTTATTAAATTATATTCAGTAGTAGGAATTCTTGTTTTTTATCATTTCCTCCACCAAGGGTGTGAACATGTCCTACTCAAAACCATGGAAATTTTTGCCTGAATACCTCTGGGAATTTTTTAAGTGCTACAAGAATCTTACTATTTTGTGTTTTTGCCATTAACAAAGTTTACATCCCCTTGGACTTGTCAGTTACAAAAATCAAAGACCCGGGGCTCCTCTGGATGTCCTGCTCACCCTGGAGGAAAGATGTCCCACAAACCGTTTAAGGACATGAATGCATTATGTCATCCTCCATCTGCCCTGGCCCACCACAAAGACAGCTTCCATCCATCTTTCCTTGCACCAGTTCAAAAGTGCTCTTGCAAAATAACTTTTCCACAGCTCTGATTCCTTACTCCCCCCTTAAAACTTGTTTGCGTTGTTCTTGCCTTATTTCTGAAATGGATAAAGTCTGGAATCTAACAAGTTCATCCTCTGTTGTTGGCATCTGTTTTCCCCATGGATGGACTGGCTTATTTCCCATCCCTACTTCCCATCTCCTAGTTAGTATTTTATTTAGAAATTTTTTGTATAGATGTCATCTTTCCCTTTCCACAATTTTATCATTTCTCCTGTTTCTTGGGCAAGAAGGGGAAAATGGTAGAACTCTTGTCAAGTTCATCTGGTTAAACAAATGAACAAACAAACAAAAGACAGTCCCATGCTTCACTGTTCCATCAAATACATACATGCATGCATACATACATACATACATATAGAGAGAGTCTACCTTTTCATTGTTTCATTGGTTAACTAGTAAAAAACAAGAGGGCCACCATTTCACTGATTCATCAGTGAACTTGTAAAAAAAAACCCAGCTTTTCACCATTCCTCTGCTGAACTTGTGAAAAAATGGCCCCAGAGGATCATGACCAGTGTCCAAAAGGAAGGAGGCATTCCTGCCACAGTGCACAGTAACCAACTAGAGTGGAGGAGTTTGCCTACAATTGAATGAGGCACAGCAGAGGAACAAAAATAACACCACTTGAGCCAACACAAGTGAGAAATCACTATATTGAACATGTAGTAGAAAAAGAGGGTGAAGGTGCCTTCCCAGTGGGCTGGGAGTGAGGAAAGGATGCTGCTGAGTTTTCCTACTCTTGAGAAATGCTTAATAGCCCCTACATATGCTGACCATCACATGTCAAGTTTTTACTAATCAAGGTTTCTCTGCAATTGTTCATATAGAACAGTGTTTCTCATTCTTGGAAGCTTTAAGATTTGTGGACTTCAACTCCCAAAATTCTCCAGTCAGCATTGCTTACTGGAGGATTTTTTGAGTTTAAGTCTACAAAACATTA